TCTGTGGGTCTCCTTCTGCAGCAGCTAGTCAGCCTTTCACTCCTACTGTCCTTTCACGTACAACAATGCAGTTAATGAACAAAAGCCCACAGAAAGTGAGACGTGTTGGACAGGTAGCAATCACTCTTTGAAATTATGTTGTGTTCATTCATGTAGGCTATTTCTTGAAGCTCTTTTTGCAATCACTCTAACTTAAAGGATGAAAAAAACAGGTGCAGGTCTTTGTGGGAATTTTCCTTTAAGATATTTTGTTTTCTATCCTGGGGGTGGGGGTGGGCAGAACTAAATTGCTATCATATTTAAATTAGATGTTGAACATGTTTGGTATATAAATGTCATACTCACATAAAACTGTGTTGGCCATACAAAAGAAAATACAATGTGTGACTATGGCTGGGGAAATGCTTTCATTTCTAGTAACTTTTATTTTCCTATGTAAGCTAAAGCAGTTGAGACAATAGTAATTAATCTCCCAATCCCCCATTCTGGATGTAATGGCTGCAGGCTTGGGGTGGGGAAGGACTAGGAAAGAGTAGACAAGTCTGTGTTCTGATGGGCAGCAGCGATAGGCAGGAACGCTAATACAGGACTGGGGGCCCGTCAGTAGTAGCATTATGGGGCCCATCTTTCTTGTTTGGTTGCTGACTTTAACCCAACTTTACCTTGACCGTATCTCCCATGGAATAAGGGACCAAATATATGGGGATAAATCAGCCATAAAGCCGCTGTGTATGTGTGTAGAAGTGGTGGTGTTGGTCATATAAAATATTTACATCAACCTCCATGTTCATCCTGAGAACAAAAATTAGATCAGGAAAAACTAGGAAATAAGCAATAAGGATTATCACTCTTATCTTTACATTCTTTTTTTTTTTAAATAAAAGGGATAATTAAGGCTCTTTTTTCTCTTTAAAGTTCCTGGTGTGGAGTTCTCAGTTCACGTGAGCTTCATGGATGAGCTACAGAGAACCGAGCTAGTCTCCAACATGATCCAGAAGCCTTTCTGTGAAGTTGATGAGTTAAAGTCAATTCTTTGCAACATATGAAGCACTTATTTCGCATATGATAACTAACTTCAGGGGAAATTTAAATGATAAAGATACAGATGGGTGTGCTATAAGAAAAGCTAAGGAAAGAGACTAAAGAGAGGTACAAATATCACAGCGCAGTGTGATGACCCAGCAGAGAACACAGGCTTGCAAAAATCAGAAAGAGGCTCTTGGAAGAGGGACCAATTGATAGGTGCCTTCAAAGTTTGAGGATAGGAGAGGGAAAGAGGCATTTCAGAAATGATCAAAAGCTCAGGGGAAGGAACGTTTGGGATGGTTTCCAGGGATAGGTAGTGACCAACTTGGGGCGCAAGATAGAATACATTTGATAATGAATACAATGCTTCCAGTCTGGTGTCTAATACTTTTACTTCCCAGCAGCATAATACCACTTTGGTCAGGTTGAACCACTGCACAATTTTGCAGCTCCTTCAGAAAAAAATAATGAAAAACAATTGGAATGACACAATCACATGCAAAGGTGAGAAAATAGTACTATTGCCCAATCTTTCCCCACAAATGTCAGTATCTTTGGTTCCTCTCCACACTGTGTATTTATTATAAGCCCTTAAAGCAAGGGATTTTGTTTCTTTGAGGTTTTTTTTTTTTTTGGTAGCACCAAATAGACACAGTGGCTGACAATAATTCTGAAACGTCATTGAAATATTTATTACATGTCAGAAATTTTCTGGATCCATACTTTTTTATCCATGTCCTTGGCTTGAAATATTCTTCATGAGAGTAAACTGGAACATAAGATTGACTTCTTACTCCATTTCTGCAATTGATAGTTTGTCGACCACACTATGTTACTAGTATCTTTTTGTTTATTACTTTACAGTTTCAAAGTACTATTATATACAATGACTCATTTATTTTAATGACTCATTTATTTTAATGGATTGGTATCCCTCCAAAAAAGATAAAGGTTAGACACACCAGCTCTTGTGTTACACTGTGTGGGTTTGAGCCCCAATTTTCATCTGCTAACTGTGTGATCTTGGACAAGTCACACATCTATGCTTTTCTTTTGTCTAAAAAATGGAACCTACTAGATTTGTTGAAAGGATACAATGAGATCATCTATGAAAGTACTGACCATAGGGGAAACTAGTAAGAACTAAATAAGTATTAGTTATGAATAAATTATTAGTTATCTACCTCACTGGGTTTTTGAGTGGTGTGTTTAGAAAAGCAAGCTCACATAAACATATGCACGGAGTCTTGCATGATTTCCATGGGGTTAGGGATTTTATTTCTTTCACCAGCTGTGAAGAGGGGCCCCATAGACAGTAAACTCTAGTTATTACCTAGTTATTAGTGTTGAGTTCCTCACAGTAAGCTCCACAAGGACATTACGTTGGTCTTATTTCCATTGTATTTCCAGAACTTAGCACATACTAGGTGCATGATAAATATTTGTTAAATGAATAAGTGCATAGAAAATTCTTAAGAACTATATGATTAATCTTTAGTTCAGGCGCCTTCTCAGAATCAATTATGAAAGGAGAAGTGATCTTTTGAAAGCAGAATATTTAGAGATGGTGTCTCCAATTACTATGAACTCCTTAGGAAAAAAAGTTGTTAATAAATATCAAAGAGGTATTAATAATATTCTTGATGATGTGGTATTTCTTCTTTTATAAACAACAAAACCAGAATATTTCATAAAATTGATAAATGGAATTCCATGTTTGGATCATCCCTGTCAGTAACTCAAGAAGCTTTCATTAAAAACTAGAAAGGGTGAGTTCTATTCATTGCAACTCTGAATCCCCAAACATTATCCCTTATCTAAATGTCCTCAAACCCTTTAATCCTTTGAAGTAATTGATTCTGAATTTAATATATCTCAAATGTATTTATGAAGAGTCAATTCTGGTTTTAACTACGAAATTCAGAAATTATGGTACCAATTAGTATAATATATCTTAGTGAAATGTTTCAGATTATGAGAAGGCAAAAATTCACTTATTTGCCTAAACACCAATTTAATCATTCATTCATTCAACAAATATTGAGCTCCTAAGTGAGTACTGGGCCAGGCATTATGCTAGAGGCCAGGGTTACAGCAGTCTGCAAGGGGCCACCACCCTTTCTCTCACGGAGCTTATAGAGATGGGCATGATAGGCGGGACTAGCCCATGTTTGGGGAGACACTGCCTCTGTTGGCCTCCCAGCATCTCTGGAGCATTGATTATTACTTCATGATGCTACCGAAAGCTGGTCTTCCTAACAAGCTATGTCTGCATGAGAAACACAAACTAGCTAAAAAGTGAGAATTTGGGGCATTATTCAAACATCCACAAACATCCACAGATGTTTAAAAGAATATAGACAAAATATTCCAACGTCTTGGAGTCCTACTGGCACAGCTGAGTAAAATGAACTGAGATCAGTTTGATTGGTCACAATGGAAAACTGCATTTGTAAACTGGTATCATCCATTTCTAGCCAGGTTCTTCAGAGACAGCCTTGAATTTTTCAAAAGCCCCTGAATGCGAGATTTTGCATTTAGATCTTAGCATTGTCTTAAAAGACAGTGGTGGTTCACGGAACTAGGGAATTTCCTATTGATTCCATAATTGAGGAAGCACAAAAGTCTGTCAGTCATTCCAAAGTCAATTGTAATTTAAGCTCATCTCCCTGCGGATGTTCTATTTCAAATGGCAACAGAATCAAAATGGAAACATGCCTTTCAGTATTCTTTCACTGAGCTATTTATGTTCCAGGTATTTGCCTTCAAAATCAGCAGGAAAGACTTTAGAAAAATCTGGCCCCTAACCTGACCAAAGGAGAGATCTAAAATCCACCAGCATCACTGATGAATAGTCACAACATATTTTTCCCCTATCTTTTAATATCCAATTTGTCTCTGATAGTCAAGGCTGAGCTTCATATAAGAGCAACCTGATAGGTCTTTATCTTAATATGATTTTGAACACATCAGTGGCTCTAGTGTGATTATGAATAAGAGACAGCAGTAGTATAACTTGTGCTAATTTTCCTCCCCTTTCCCTCTGGCTTCAGTGAACCTTAGAGAGCCACCCAGGGACCCCTCTGTCTTAGCGATGTCTACTTCTGACGAAAATTTTTGGGGAAGGCTTACATTTAACAAATCGATTTTACTGAAGAAAACTGGCCGCTGGATTGGTTATTAGTATGTAGGAACACTGCCACAGGTCGGTCCTAGATGCCTAAGTTGTGATGGCACGCCCCTTCACTTTGACAAAGGACTTGGCACACATTTATTAACACTTAGCATTATGTAAAGGAAGCATAAAATGCAAAGATATCCAGAAAACGCAAATGTTAAGGTATCTGCTCATTTCATAACTGCTTCTGTAACACAATGACAATATTTATATTGATGTGAAACTATAGGATACTTCTAATATTGACCCAACACTTATTTATGGCTAAATGAAAACATACTCACTTTAAGCTCCAAATTTATACAATGTCTTGAAATGTGTTGAAATGACCATTTTCTCATTACAAGTGTGCAATGATTTCCCTTAATGAGAATCTGTGGCATCACTGAATTGTTTTAATATTTCTTTTTTAAATGATAACTAAAATATATGTTTCATTAATTTTTTCTTACAAAAATGAGAACTACGGCTTTCAAACTTAGTATCATGTAATATCCATTCATTCCCTTTAGTCATGTTTGCCTCTCATGTAAACCTATTTTACATAACATTCAGGGTCCTCACCCTAGCCCTCCCCTCCCATCCCCTGCCCACCCCAACCCCACCCTCCCATTCTCTAGTAAAAAATGATATGCTTTCAAGAATGAGAATCTATTAACACAGTGGGACACTGTGGAGGTTGGGCACCTCCTAGTTTCTTTGTTTGTCCTCTGTTGGGTGACAGACTATGAAAAGTAGGCAGAACTTGGTATTAACAATAATACCACCTGACAGGGTAAAATAAAAATGCTCTGGGTAGTTTGATTGGTTTTATTTTGTTATCAAGAAAGCAGTTTTGAAATGGAGCTTCATAAATTTCTAATTTAGGGGACTATTTGCAATGTGAAATTTATTTATCTTGGGGAATCAATATCTGTATTTGAGAAATGAGAAATTCAAATATCTGCCTCTGTTTTAATGATCTTTCTAGAACGTTTCAACTGAACATTTATTCTCTTTCCTGGTACATTTGTGTGCTTAAGGTATTTAAGTGTCCAAATAATTATTGCTTCCTACTCATTTCAGAGAATAAAATTAGACTTATGTGCCTAGATTTACCATAGCCAAAATTTATGATTTTTGTAAGTGGCTCCAACAGACCATTCTTCACTGCTACTTTCTGAAAGATGGTATCTCATTGCCTATTTACTTATGTGTAATGAAGTAGGTATCTTTCCCCTCTAGGAAAAACAACATCTTTTCATTCCCATTTTCAATATCACTGGTTTACGTATGTCTAATATTAAGAGGAATAACACTTTTGATCTCAGGCTGCCAAAAATATCCCATTTATATTTGAGGAAACTGATCTAAACTGTATATGACATACAAATTTGTGCATATATGGATATATAGTTTAGTTTTATAAAGTCCTAAGATTTAAAATATCAAATAGACCCCCATGACAGCACATTGGGGTAGGTAGAAAGAGTTTAGATTTCCCCAGAATTCATCAATCAAAAATATAAAACTTAATGAAAACATATCAAGAGCAGGGTTATATATAAATATCATATGAAGCTAGGTCCTTTGCTAGTGTTCTCTTACCGGATTTATAACACTTGGTAAGAGACCAAAGTTTGTAACAGATATACTCTGATAATATACATTTTTCAGAATAAATATACATTATATTCTGTTCAAATTAATAATGATAGATATAAGCAATACTTAAATTAAAAAAATACAGTACTGGAATTCTCTATCCTTGCTTCTAGGGAACTAAAATTGCCCCACTCTGTTCATGCATAATAAAATTCATGGAAACAGAAAAAAAAAAAAGGCCAACTGCTTCTAGAACCTGAATAGAGGATAAATACAGGATAACTTGCCATTTTCAAGAGGGGAATAGAGGTTGAATTTGCAGTAAATTAGGATTTTGTCAGACAATTTAGCAATGTGGGTGTGGCACAGGCCAGGGGGAGGGGCAACACGTCGGTTGTTTCTTAGTGGCCACAACCTCGAATGGATGCCATTTGAACTACAGCCTAATGAGGGATTTGTTAACCTCTGAAAAAGTGGTAGACCAAAGATTCTCTTAATCTTGGCCCTGGTGATCATTCTGAAAGTCATGGACTTCATTCTTCTTCCACTGTTTCAGTCTGCAGCCTGGAAACCTTCTCCTAACTCCCGGAGAACTCCCAGAGCGGGGTGGAGGGTCTGTGTATGTGAAGAGCCACGTGAGCTGCGGGGACTCAGCCCGAGAGAAAAAGAGTCGAGTTGCCTCGGTAAAGAATATACACACCACGTGTTCACAGCTTCTTGACAGGTATAATTATCAGTGTTGTTTTTCCCTTTTACTATGTGCTGGGGGTTCTGAAGCATGGTTTCAAACTCGTCACTATCCGGTGTTTGATCAAATTGCTTTTCTTCAAGGACCTGAAAAGGAGAGAAGAGTGGAGAGAAATCAGCGATTAGTATTCATGTGTCAACGACAATATGCTAAAAATACTGAAAGAGCACGTGCTACGTGCGAACAGCAAAAGGGCTATTTTGGGCGCTATCATTCATGCACAATCTTCCACGTATGAAAAATGAAGATGTTTGTAAAGGAAGTAATTATCAAATGAGGATGGAAAAGACACAGTCATTCCTGCAAATGAAATAAGGAACATCCATTTGGAAACATTTCAAATGTAAAACATTTCTTTCTCCCAATTACAGATGACTCTATTTTTCTTCATGACCGCAAAGAACAGGTAACATTTCTAGTATGGCTCTGAGGGTGACTGTAGTGCTCTTGTTGAGGTAGAAGCCAGCAAAAACTCTCTGTCATGGGCTGCAAGCACCAGCAACCCTTCTCTGAAGCAGATGCGAGGCCTGTTTCTGCTGCTCCAAGGTCAGCCTGACACCAGGTAGAACACAGGAGGCTGCTGTCCACGTGGTCTGATTTGGGGGAGCAGCCTCCCTTATCCGAGAACTGCCCTCTGTCATCGTTATGGAGTCATTTCTTTCAGAGAGAACAATGGTTTTGCATCTTTGTTTTTAAAGCTGCAGATGTTTGTATTTCAGCAAATGCAGATGACGTATACAAAACAGATTTTAACGAATTGTTCTGGTTGACCTGTAAGAAGGGGGGGCTTGCAATCTGCCTGTTTGGCAGCAACACTGTCCAGCTGCCAGGCCCTTCAGAGATGCACCCCAAAGCCCTGTGGCCCTCTAAGAGTGAACCTGAAAGCCGAGCCCAAGGCCACTGTACTCCTTCCCCTAACAACATACTACAAAAAAGCGTTATCTACCACTGACATTTTAACTACTACAGGACCACCAGTCCTACTATGCTATTGAGAGCTCACTAATTGCCACATATTTTGGTAAGTTTCGCATACTTTTTTCTTATTTAATCTCCATAGCAGCCCATTTAACTCAGTCCCATACTGAATAACTTCCTGCAGGTCCCCTAGCATCAAGTGACAAAGCCCTAGAGATTGAGCTTTTAATGAATTAATATATTATAGAGTTACATGTCCTAAAGGAATGGGACTCAGCAGGTGAATTTAGTGGGTCTTGGACCTCTTCATCTATCTGGAAGGGTGATATGCCAGCAACTGAGAGAGCACCGGGCATCCGAAATGTGGGTCACGGAAATGCCTGTTGGGAGAGGCCATCTGCACCAAATGTTCTTACTACTTCCCTCATTTGCATGATTTACAATTCAAGAGTTTAGAGATCTCTTAAATAAAAGCCTCTTCCATATCAGTGTAAATTTTATTGGACAATAAAACTGCTTTGTCAACTTTTAAATGAGTCTTTGAGGTAGGCAGAATAATGGACCACAGATACGTCCATGTCCTACTCCCCAGAACCGGTGAATATTTAGATTCCCTGGCAGAGGGAAATTAAAGTCGTAGATGGAAGTAAGGTTGTTCATCAGTTGATGCAAAACAGAGAGATTATCCTGGATTGTCCAGGTGGACCCAGTGGAATTAAAAGGGGAAGAGGGAGGGCGAAGAGCCCAGCATGGGGATGAGATGGTGGGAGAGGTCACAGCCCTGCCGCACGAGGGCCTGACAGCCGCTCCTGGTTGAGGAAGGAGAGTGGGGCTGTGGAGCAGGCAGCGCAGGCAGCCCCAGAAGCTGGAGCAGGCAAGAAAAGGAATGTTCCCCTGGAGCCTCCTAAGGCCCAGTGAGACGGCGTTGGACTTCGGTCTTACAGGAATGCAAGATAATAAATGTCTGTTCTTTTAAGACATTAAATGTGGGGTAAGTGCTAGGAGAGCCAGAGGAAACGAATTCAGCTGTGACGATGAAGTGCTCTGAAGCCTGGGGTAGTGTTTTGGAAGTAAGTGGCGGCAAGGGTGAGCTGGGTATCTCCAACTCAGCGGCATGAGGGTGAATCCCTGGAGAGCTCACATGAGTGTGTCTGTGAGGAGGGATGGGGGACAGCAAGGGTGGGGGGCCACTGGAAAAGGTCAGAGGGGCACAGGTCAGGAGGTAGAGCCCGTGAAGCCCGTGTTTCCGGGTGGGGGTCAAGGCCCTATCACTAAATGCAGCACAGATGTTAAAAAATCCCATAGGCTTCAGTTTCTTTCTTTAAAATGAGGTGAAAAATAGTACCTAATACTCAGAGGATTATTATGAAGATTCAGGAATTTAATATATATGAAGCAAGTAGAGGAGTTCTTGGCACATTGTAATTGCTTCATAAATGTTATCCAGCATTATGGCTGTTACCCCCCATCCAGTTTTCTGCTTGGTAACTCTGGAATCCTTGGACTCAGTTTTATCAGACATCCTCCGAGACGTGGCCCTCTCAGTTCTGGCTGTGGTTCCCTGGATCAGATCATCAGGACAGTGGCCGTGGCAGCCATCTCAACAAAGTCATCCTCGTCCAACCTCCATCTCTCTTGCCTGGACAACTATTTAACAGCCTCCAAATCGGACTCTGTTTTCACTCTTTCCCTGCAATAATCTGTGTTCCCCACAGCAGCCACAGACTGTACAGAACAGTCAAGTAGTGGACACAGTAAGAGACACGGGGTCTGAACAGCAGGAGGAAAAGGAAGGTCAGTGAGTGAAGAAGACAGTGGAGTTTTAGTTCTGGAGAGTTTAAAATTAAAAGTAGGCATAAGAGATGTTCTCCACATACTACCTGCATCCCACCTGTTTTCCATTTGTACGTACCATTTACCATTGGTAGTTACTTTATAATCTACACCTCAGAAAAAAAAATATTTCTAATTTAGAGAATAAAAATTATCATGTGATAAATAATAACATAATGTCTGACAACTATTTTGCTTTACCTGGTCTTTGCTTGAGTTCTCAAACTTAAAAAAAAAAAAAGAACAGACATCTGTTCAAAGGAAGTATGTCAAATTTGCTTCAAATCTCTTCTCAAAAGCAACCATGGTGTGAGTTAGCAAGTGTAACAAATCCCATTTAATCCTTAAAAATATAATTAATTAAGAGTTGAACAAAAGCTAATGTAGGTCTCTTTGACTGAATTCACCATAAAATCCATGAATGGCATGACTTGGTTGTATTTTGCTGGTGCTTGAAATGGTCAGTACAGTTCATCTCAAGGCAACACGATCATGTGTATTGCAAGTGCTGCCTTGCCATAAGTATAAATAAGTATAAATTCTCCTTAAACAGAACTTTACCATATCCTGTGCAATAAAAATAGTTTATAAATGCTTGTTATTAAAAGGTTAGTCTTTGGTAATGAGACGGCAGGGGTTCTGAAATGATTTAATGAAAACTGATGGAACAGAGAAATGGAATTGAGTAGTACTGTACGTTGTCCGGCAAATATCTACAGCCAAATTGTATACTTCCAAAGATGACTGAATAAGTGTAATACTGGAAGCTTTCAGTAAGATTCTGGAGTCTGAATGGCAACATGTTTCTTTTGGGACATTTCAGAACGATTTTACTATGGATCAGTGTGGTAAATTAGTAGTTAAGAGAACTGGTACAAGACTACATTATGAGAATCAAAGAAAATAACAGTGTAAAGTGTCAACGTTTGACCTAAGAATAGTGGATTATTATGATTGGCAAAATGACTGTTGAAAGCATTCTGAAAGTGCAAATGTGGAGTATCTTTCCATTTGGAATGGATAAGCTAGAAGAAGGATATAGACAAAACGACTTGTCCCTGTGCATCCAGATCGCTCCATCTCAACAATGTCATCCTCGTCCAACCTCCGTCTCTCTTGCCTGGACAACTATTTAACAGCCTCCAAATCGGACTCTGTTTTCACTCTTTCCCTGCAATAATCTGTGTTCCCCACAGCAGCCACAGTTATCTTTTTTAACATATAAATTATTCCTTGTCACTCTCTTGCTTAAAATCCTTCAGTGGCTTGCACTGCAATGAAATCTCACTTCCCTGGGTGGTTTTAAAACCCTCAATTACCTCACTATCTTCTCACTCATTATTCCTTAACCTCCCTGGCTTCCTTTCTATTCCTCTAACATCAAACAGCTCTTACCTGCCTTAGAGCTACTGCACTGGTCATTTCCTCCTCTTTTTATGCTCATTTCCCGGCTTCTTCTGGTCCTCAGCTTAAATGTCATCCCCCTTGAGAAGGGTCTTCCCTGATCACCTAATGGAAAGTCATCACCAAGCCAGTCTCTATCAGAGCACCCTATTCTAACTCTGCAAAGTACTGGTCTCCATAGGATATTTTTCATTTACTTGTTAGTAACTATCTTCTCCAACAAAAATGTTAGCACCATGAGAGTAAGGACCTTACTTTATTTGTGCTGTTTCCATAGCCTATTGAACAAGTGCCTGGCCCATAGCAGTGCCAAATAAATATCTGTTGTTGAATAAATGTGGTTTTAAGAATGGAAAGTAATTTTAGATAAAGATGTGAATCTATGGTATATACAGTAAAACTAGCAGGCTATAAAAGAAAGATAGATTGTTGAACTCCCACGACTGTTTGAGGACAAATGCCAACATACTCTTTTTTACTTCTCCATGTACTTTCTTGTTTTTTGAGTGTCACAGAAAATAGAAAGTCTGTCATATGCAATGCCTCTGATTGTGCAAATAGCAATCTGATATGCAAAGAGTTAAAAACATCATTACCTATGTCGTTTTTCCAAGAATATTTGAGCTTCATTTCAAATACATGTTTGCAGACATCTTAGTGTAAAAGTACCTAATGATATTAACTGTCTCCTCTAAAGGATAGCAAGGAAAATTAGGTAACTCCAGAGCATCTGATGTAGGCAAATGAACTATCTAGTAGAGTGAGAAGAAACATAATTCTATGCTACTTTTTAAGTGTGGTTGTGAGGAATCCACTGATGCTATCGCAGCTTCATATCATTCAGCTCAAAAATGGAGTTTCAGTGATACTTAAATTGGAGGGTTTTTCTGAGGATTAGGGATAACATGTGGGAAGGGCCTGGCACAGAGCACACCCTTCAAAGATGGTGATTCTTACTCTTGACATTTTTTCTTGAGTTTTCTAAAAAATACATAGCAAAACATTATTTAGCATTCTTTGTCATAAAATGGAATTGGGAAAAAAGGCAGGCGCATCTCAGACACATTTTAAGTGAACACCCACAGAGAATTTCAAAATCTCAGAACAAACACACTAGCAGGTTTCGACTTCATTCTTTTCAGGGGAGCAGTTTTCTAATAAATTGAATGACAGTATTCTAAAGGGATCTTCCCGGGATCAGCACAGTATGGTTGCTTAGTTTCCACATTCTTCAAAGGCAACCTGCTGAGGGGCTGAGTGGGGGCAGCAATCCAGCCTACACTCCTGTCAGCTAGCTCTGTGCCTGAGGATCAGGGTTTGCACAGAGGCTGCATTTTGCTAATTTGTATAGTCATCCTATAGCTGTATCTGCCCCCCTAAGTATGTTATTTTCCAAAATATCTTACATTTGCATGAAATATGGCTGAATGACATACAAAATAAGCACCTACCTTGCTTACATTTTCTGAGATCAGTGTTCTTTATTTGTTTGATTTTGGTAGGGGGATTATTAAATCTAATGATGTTGTTCTAGCTAAGAAACTATATTAAAAAAAACAACTTCCGTATGTAAGGGACTACCCTGTATGGAAGACGTGCTACTTGTCTTGCTTTATGTAAGGGGCTCCCCCATTGGAAGTGAGACAGGGACCCATAGATGTAGTCAGAATAGAGTGAGGGCCTCTGGAGGGGGCAGGGCAGGATATTTGCAGTCAGAGCAATGTAACTACATGCAAGGAAACCCCACCCCCCCTACTAAAACTCTGTGTTAAACATTGAGCTCTAGAATCATTCTTCAGTGACTGGGTTCCCCAGATAAAGAAGAGTAGCGCATGTTTATTATGCTAATCATTTGTAACCCTGTGTAAGATTCCCCTCAGCACACTAAAAGGCCCAGGCCTATGTGCTGTCTTTCTTCCTTCAGATCTAAGGAGGTGATTCTGCAAACTGAACAGCTAACTTAGCTGCAGACCCAGCTGCAGACGGCATGGTTAAGGGCAGGAAGAATTCCATCTTAAAGATAAGATTGCATTTTAACACCCAGGAAGTTCAAGAGGCAAGATTCTTTAGCAAGTAGACAATACCTCAGCCCACCTTGGGGGCCTGGGCAGGCAGCCTTTTGATGTGCTCCCAGACCAAGGCGCCCAGGTGTCCCAGAGAGAGAAATCAAGGCAGGAAATTCCTTACAGTTAAGTTAATTTTTAATATTCAGGGACCACTTAACAAGTCCCCACCTCTAAGTTTTTTCATGTTCTCGAAAAATCCTCAACTGCCTATAAACCCCCCTAGACAACGCACCACTACAGACTCTTGTCCCCTGCTGGCGTGAGCCGGGAGCTCTGTCCTTTCACTTTATTTCTAAATAAAAGCCTGTACCTTGCTCTCCTACCTTGACTGTTTGTGAAGCTCATTCTTCGGCTCCGCAAACAAGAAACCCGGCATCAGAAGGATGTGCTTCTCGCCTTAACTATATAAGGGGCTCCCCCATTGGAAGAACGTACATCTCGCCTTGCGTATGTAAGGGGTTCCCCCATTGGAAAAACTCTCTGCTCGTATGTTAGGAGTTCTCATCCTCATTGGAGGAATGAGCTTTTTGTCTGTAAGGGGCTCCCCAGCTGGAGGACCGCGCTTCTCACCTATGACATGTGGTTTTGCTGTGTGTGTTGCTGCTGTTGCTGTTGCTGCTGCTGAATTAGCAACTGCTGCTGCTGCCGACGCCGGGCCGTCCGGAGCTTTTCAAATCGAGCCTCCATTTCTTCCAGGACCTTAGGGGTGTATCGGACCACCAGCTTGACGCTGTCCTTGGCAGCCTTGAGTAATTCCACAGCTTTCTCATGGTGTTCCCCTTCCACGCTCTGAAAAAACAGAGACGTTCCTTAGAGGGGAGAGATTCCCTGTTCTGTTCCCTGACGGAAGAATCTGAAATTAGCATCATATTAATATCCCAGGTTGAACTATCATCAAGACGCAGCCAACGGAATCTACTCTCATCTTCATCAGTGTTTATCTCATTGGTAATTGAACTCTAAGCAGGTTAGGCTGCGCGAGGGAGCAGAATGAATTGAAAGGGGCCCCAAGTTAGAAGGGTGGGAAACAATGAAGACCCAAGATTGGGAATGGAATTTGTAAATTTCTTCTGGAAGAGTAAATGCATTATCCAGCAAAATTTTGAAAAAAAATAGTAACGAAGGGGAACTTTTCCTGTCAGATATTAAAATTTGTTAAGAATCATGATGAAAAAAGCAATGTCTTACTATCATAATAGAAAGTAGGACATAGAGAGTCCAGGAGCAGATCCACCATATGTAAAACTTTATTATCTAATAAATGTGGGATTTAACTCAGAGAGGAAAATGACTAATGATGTTGGAACAAATAAATGATACAAAATAATGTAGACTCCAATCTCATTGTCTATGCTAAATATAACAGATTGACTAAAAATTTAAATGTAAAGATAAAGCCATAAAACTAGCTGAACATTCATTATCTTGAAATGGAGAAAGAATTCTTAAGTAAAAACACCAAGGGAAGAAAACTTACAAAGTCAGATTTACAAATTGTAAGTTTTTGTATCTCGAATACCATAGAAAGTTCAAATAACGAACCAGAAAAAAATATTTCCAATACACTACAATTTGTTAATAATCTTCAGATGAATCACTCTTACAAGTCAATAAAGATCTACTCAAAATGGGCAAGTGAACTCATAGACAAATAATAATTTAAAAAAACAAAATAAATTGTCAATAAGCATATGAAAGGATGTTTAAACTCCTAGTAAATATAGATACAATATTTATTTTAAAATGGTAAATATGTATTTTTAAATATGACATGTTTACAAGGATGTAGGGAAATGGGACTCTCATATGCTGATAATAATTGATAAAAACCAGTACATTTTTTATGGAAAGCACTGCTGTTATGCATTGAATAAACCCTTTACAATGAATAGTTTTACTTTCAGAGAAATTTACTAAGGATATAATAAGATGTGCACATATACCTATAAGGTATATGTGTATATGTTTCAAAAGACTCTTGAACATCCTTGCATAAACAGTTGTTGGGGATACTATGTTTACTGTAAGTACTATCATACTAAGAGGCTTCTTCTCCCAAACCTTCTAAAGATTCTCTAGGTTGAGATTAGGCAGAAGTAAAAGAGCAGTAAATTGTAATCTGACATTCTGGAAACCTGAAAAAAGGAGACGATCTCCTTTCCTCTCAGCTCATCTCCAGGGCAGACAACACAACCCCTGTTTTATAGGATCAAAGTACAAAAGCTGTTCTTATTTGCTTCCTGGATAAAGCTCAGAGAAGACATGTCTGTGTGATGTGACCAGTGGGGACAGGGATAGGCTTAATAACTGCCTAACACTGGCACTGAAGCGGCAAAGGAGGCCACCCCAGATTGGCTGAGATTACATTTTCACAACCCAAGCAGAAGGGGGACTCAAATGGGACATTGTATTGTGTTATAAGAAAAAATTAAGTAAGTTGAATTTCAAGCACACTTCAGTTATCTTGAGATTCATAATCACTACTATTATCCAGATTTGGAGACTAAAGAGATTGTGTTCTATTCTATTATTTGCTTCAGAAAGGTGGATGTGGACTGAAAAAAAACTGATTTGGCAAACATGCAGTCATCAGTGGCCTGGAAGAGCTCTGCCTTCAATCATTTGTTGGACTACCAGGCAGATACTAAGGGTTTAAAATATGATCATGTGAGCCCAGTAGGCAACTTAGGTAACCACTCTTTCAAGTCTGGGCTAGACAGAGAAGGGTTATAAGTAGCTGCTGGGCAAGTGAATTTTTCTCTGTGGCTGAAGCCTAGGAAAATAGGCTTACTCATTTATTAATTCATTCTTTTAATTATATGCAATCATTGACTTGGCCACTCAACAAATATTTATTAAGCATTTATTCTACCAGTCATATTCTACTAAGTTCTTTGGAAGAACATGAAGGACAAGGGAAAACTGTGACAACTTACAGTATAAACCCTATTTTCAGTGTGCTTGTAATTTTCTTTGTAATGTGCCCCAATATGAATTGTTAGTATATGGAATTCCCCTTTCAAATGAAAACTGGGTGGTTTTGGTTGTTCATACTCTTCTGAAATTTCTTTTTTAATATTAAAACTCACATATTTATATGTTTCAATGGCAATGGTTCACCCATTTTCTAGGCCAGATGATTAGTCTCTAATCTCTTTTTGCTTTCTGTTTGCTTTCATCTAATAGAGCTAGAAATTCTAGGCCAGTCCTTAGGAGGCCCATTATCCCAGTTTAGGCATGATGCCTGCAGTTTAGAGTTGCCACGGGAGGGCTGTGGTACTACCACATGGAGCCATCAAGCTCTCAGACAGGGATGAAGAGCAGAGAGAAATACTGGCTGGTACGCCTTAGCCAGCCCTGCGGAGCCGTCAGGGCCACCCTCTCCCACGCCCCAGCTCTGGTCTCCCCCATGCAGTTAGCAATTCATAAAAAGCAGACTCCATGGTCTTCGAGCCCAGAATTTCTGCCTTGATGCTCTGTCTCTGGCTTAGACAGTGGCTCAGATTCTTCTGGGCTCACCCGAGGTGACAGGTCTCCAGACCTGACTCCGCCTTCCCCACTGGAACACATCTAATGGCATCTGGGCTGAGCGCCAAACTTCTCTTCTGCTTCCAAAAGCGCTTTGTTAAAACAATACAAATTATATGATTGAACATGATAATAGAAACTAGGAGGTAACTCTTAGAGATTTGAAGAAATGTTAAGCATGTTTGTAGAATGTATTATTCCAAACACTCCTTAACTTTGGTTTTTTAAATTATTTTCAGACTGAACTCTTTTCTTAATGATTGTTCTGGATGGCTCTTTTTTTCCCAGAGTCTTTGCCGACTTTATGAATGCTTTCGAGTGCATATGTTTGCCTCCTTAACCTACTGTTTATCTCTTTGGCACTCTTAGTCCCTCTGGACAACTCTTTAAAAACTTAAGGGCAGTTTTCTCTCTTCTTTCTCTGTTAAGGTAAGAACAAAACAGCAGAGCATCTTCCCGTGGAGGTCTCGTTCAATGCGTAACAAGAGGCCACATCACCTCCTCAGTCAGGGTAAAAATACTGATGTGCAAACACTTGGTCGTAGGCATTCCTAGCGGCCTGGCAGTTTACCATCTGTTTGTACTCGGCTTCATCTATTTCTCACTCTTAAGGACGGTATGCCTTATTTCAGGCTCAGTATTTGAAACATGTTTTGAACTGTAAGAGTTTATCTGTAAATAATTAAGCTATTTCTATCAAAGCTGTACATACAAGAAAAGTCCTCTCAATTCAGGAATCGGCCTCTATAACAACTAGCTCAGTATGAGCAGACACTGACTCTCAACCTGCCACACCAGCTCTTCACACAGCATCAGAATTTGGCTCTTATGTGATTTGGGGAGACCTAGCGATGCGTCCAATTTTCAAGTGAAATCCCCTTCGGCACCCAAAACCTGAAATTCTATATTTTTAGATTTCATTATCTTGCTTTAAGGGTTTTGTTGTACCTATTGCTATTTTAGTAATTCATTAGTAAGGATTAATTTAACAAGGCTTCCCTCCAGACATCTGGTAAAAGTTGTGTTTTATTTAGGTAAGGGATGGGGAAAAAGTAGTGGGATATACTAGGTACCGAGGAATTATTGAGACCCAAGAGAAGTGTGGTTCTGCAAGAGAAAAGATAAACATTACCTACCCTACAGTTGTGCCTAGTCTTCACATGAGCATTCCCTGAAATGAATTACAATGCCGTATGAAGAATGGGCATTTTATTTATGAAATAAATTTATTTATGAAATAAAATGCCCATCCTGAAAATATTTCTGTCATTCTCCCGCTAAATCATTTAAAATTACACATAGAAACCAATATGAGGAGAATTCAAATCATTTCATTACCATTTCCAAATGTTTAAAACAAGCTGATAGTATATCAGACTGATATAAAACCACAAGAACCAGATCTCCTATAATGTTAATATATAAAAGATGTATTTTTGTTCAGGAAGCTGGGGAGAAAAATAGCTCAGTCAATGACCAGATGCATACTTGTTTCATCAGCAATCTCATGCAACAGTAAGCTCTAGGATGTTTTCAAGTTAGTTAATTTGATAGAAGTTTAGCAAATCAGTGGCTGGTAAATGGACCAACTTTTAACATGGCTGCATTCTGGTCTCTCAATTGTTTTTCTATTATTTCCTAGGTGATTAAGAAACCTCCCCAATAAAAGAGAACTTTAGATTGCACTGTAGACATTAATTTGCTCATGACATGTGCTCTCCCCATTGAGACAGAGAAACTAGTTGTTAAATTTTGACCCTGGCTAGACCTCAGATGGAAGAGATGCCTGCCCTGGGATGGAATCTTGTTATCTTTGTATAATCAGCTGCCAAATAGTCCATGCCCAAGTCTTTATGCAGGACTTTCTCTGTGGGGATTACATGGAGACAGTCCTGACCCAATTTGCTAATAGATAAATGACTTAAACACTTTGTCAGATAACCAAGAACTGGCTATACCATTCAGCTATTCTAGGCATCTCTAGAATCACGTTTATGTATACACTCCTAAGTGATACCAGTCATTCCTTTGGACTAAGGGCTAACAGGTATTATCAGGGAATAAATGATATTGAGGATATTCAGTTATGATCCCTTGGTACAATTAAGTAGCTCAGAAACTCATTATGAAAACATTGTGGCTGTACAGACCTTTAGAAACAATCTCAGTTATATCCTTGTTTTTTTTTTTCAGTCTAGTTAACATCTGTCACCATACATAGTTAAATTTTTTTTCTTGTGATGAAAACTTAAAATTTACTC